AATGTACAAATAATTGCTTGGATTCYGAKTATCTGRTTGACGKTTTGCACCTAAAGTATTTCCTTGGCTGTGACTCTTTCAAGTTGAAGAAGTATAAAATGTTCGGTTGCATCCCAACTTAGCTCTTCCTTACTCTATTAAAAAAGTCAAGCTCATACCGAAAAGTATTACAGAGAATAAGTTGTTGTAATAGGTTGTCAAAAAAGGCTTGCGCATTTTTTATTTATTTTATTATTTTATTTTATAACGGTTTGATGACCCAGCTCTTGACCGATGCTACGGCTGCTCCCATGCCGGTCTCTTTCGACCAATTCAGCGATTTTATTGCAATTTTCGACGACAGGCCTTACGGAGCGTGGCGGGTCTTCGACCACCTCTACACCAGAACGAAAACGTTGAAAGCATCGTTGTGCGGTGGAAATGAAAACTGTATCGGGTCCATAGACTGCACAAATTTTATTGGCGGCTTGACATTTTTGCCTTTATCGTAGTGGTACTGTAAAATATGCCGTATTTTCTCTTTATTTTGCTCCATGTTTGCGACGCTATAACTCACAAACGACTTAAAAACACAAACGACAATCAATCAARCACGTGTTAGCGTGTGAAATGAGCTTTCCAAAAAGGTATAGCATGACCCGATGCGACGMATAAAACTCTCAGCGCCAACTAGCGAAAATACCGCAAAACTTTTTTGACAAMCTATATATAAACTATATGTGGTAGCATTGGGATCCAAAAAAATTTTCGCTTTAATTAAGAGATTCTATTATATGGTGTGTATTGCATATACAGGTATGATCGTAGAAAAATCCCAAAGCAAAAGGTAAACGGCAGTTAAGATTGAAAAAAAGAAAAAAAAACGCCGGGTGTTTAATACTATTGTCAAGGTACAACTTGAATCTCTGTTTTCTAATAGGGATAACATCGCCTCAATAGCACCTAGTAGTATATTGGAATTTATCAATTTGTTGGACCTAGATAAATCGTTGTGACTTAGACCTTAGGTCGCAATGCAATCCTCATCATCCAGGGTTAGCATTTTACACTGATTTCTATGGTTCGCAGGGTACATCTTGCAATTTGCCAAAATTCTACCAAAATGGACTCAATAGAATATTGCCTTCAAAGTAGAAATAAATTTATAATAACAACCGATTTTGAATAATTTTTACCTTCACATCAGACGTTTTTTTAATAGATAAAGCTCAAGTTAATTACCAACTTTTTATAATTTATCGCACTGAGCTCCCTTTCCGCGCGAATAAGTTTCAAATTTGTGAGGATGCAATACATATCCATATATATATCGATATACAATATATATTACGCACATGTAAATTCTACCTTTAGCGGCAAGAGCAAATGCTCGATATGTTTATGGCGYTTCGTGACAGATAAGCAGTTCATAAATCAGGTGACCAGTTAAGCCGTTAGTTGAGCTGTCGTATGTTAAATATGCAATGTCGGCATTTACATACATCCACACGTATAATCTAAACTATAACAATAACAACATCTAATTTGCATAATTTCATGCGACAAGAGATTTATGCTGAGAAGTTGTTGAAGTGGGAGAACACTCAGAATTGTTGGTGAGCTTTCAATCCTTGGTGAAGAATATGCAGAAATGTGGAAACATTTTTTGTTCTAGTTTGTTCTGAACCTCAAACCAGATTCTTAATGATTCTTACGTTTCTAGTTCCAGTCCGATTTGTTAAATATAAGTTAAATATAATATTTGTTTTATTGGCTWTCATGCAYCATTAATTTGTTCCTCCWGGACGAACCGTCAACGCCAAGTTTTACGCGGAAGTCCTCAAAAGTCTCAAACRAAGGGTAAATCGGGTCCGACAAATAATCGCAATCGATTGGAAGTTGCACCGTGACAACGAACCGGCGCACACCGCCTTCCTAGTGACCAAGCAAGGCCGGCATCCAAACTCTTCCACAGCCGCCCAGATGTCACTTCCCCTATTTTTTGTTTCCTTTCCTAAAAAGGCCGATGAAAGCCACGCGTTTTGAGGGGATCCAAACAGCATGCACCTCTGCTCTCAAGGCTATTTGGGAGAATGCCTTCCATGATGCCTTCAATGCTTGGAAATTACTCTGGCAGCGCTGCATCGACGTAGAAGGAACCTATTTTGGAAAGAATTAATATTAAAGAATTGTAACGATTTGTTGAATAAATCTCTTTAAATCGACACTAGGTAAGAATGACTAAACGAAGTCTGGAGTTATATCGGCTAAAAAAAAGGACATCAGTATTTTTGCATGATCCTTTCAAAATAATGATAAATAATTATTGGGTATAATTCTTCCACAAATACATTTGACTGGTTCATACCTAATAAAGAAAGTTATTTCGCTAGCYACCAGTAACTGTTATTGATAGCTTCTCATCTTGGAATTGTCATTTTTATGACCACAACTCTCTGAGATAGAAGCTTTGACGTGGGGAAGTTAAATCGACATAAATGCATAATAAAGTAGGTAAACAAAAAGTGAAATTTATAAACTTGAACGCAACACAAAAAAAACAAGCATAAACAGAAAAACACTATGTGTAATAGAGATTTGTGAAAGAAAGTTTGTGGTCAGCCCTCATAACAGGTACTAACATTTACTGAAGCGATCGAAGCAAGAAAAGCCGAAAAATTTAATTAATGAATAAAAAGCAGAGCGATGACGAGTCAAGTGTGTCAGTTGGTTTATTGAAAAAATGAAAGCAATGAAGATTACAATAACAAAAATTATATGAATGCAGCTAAAATAATGTGATAAAGGCGATGGAAGATGGAAAGATTGAAGTACGAAATCGAAAGCGTCAAAAATACGGTGCGCATAAGAAATACAACTGAAAAAGACAATAAAAACAACAACTAAAGGCAGCACTACTAATGTAGATGTGAAGACAGACATACTATACATTGCCACGAGCAACAGACGTTAATGAAAAGTCTTTAAAAATTAAAAAAAATAAAAAAAAAAAATGCATTAAAATTATAAAGGGATAATTTTGAACGAGAAAAAACTGAATTGATTGRCTGAGTGCATTTTAAGTAATTAAGTGTGCAGACTGCAGAGTTTGCCGTACGTGTAAGTCATTAATATTAAATTGAACAAGCGAGTGATTAGCGAAGTGCAGACAATAGCGATTAAGTGTTAATTAAATATCTATGAGCAAGCGCGAGGCTGATTGGTGAGCATAATGTGAATTTTGATGGCTTTAATGCGGGAAATGAGAAATATGCAGCCCATTGTTGCACTATTGGGTCTAACAAAAACTATGTTTATGGGTTTTTTTTTTGTTTTTAATTGGAACGTTTATTTAAGAGAAAACTGTTCGCTTTTATTCAAAGTGTTTGCCATCTGCAGTTATAACATTTTCACAKCTTTCTGGCAATTTCTTGTCATCAAACAATTAGTCGTCGCTGCCGGTCTGCAGTCGTAACTTCTATGTTGTAACTAATTTCATCTACCTTAGAACCAGTATTAACGCCAACAACAATGTCACCCTCAAAATCCAACGCAGAGTAAATCTTGGCGAAAGGTGCTACTTTGGACTGAGTAGATAATTGAGACTTTCTCGATGAACAGAAACCAAACTCTATAAATCACTCATTATTCTCGTCCTTCCATATGGTGCAGAGTCATGGACGAATGACAATATCTGATTAGTCGACGTTACGAGCTTTTGAGAGAAAGGATCTGCGGAAATTTTAAGTTGGAGAGATCAGATGGAGAAGGACCTGAATGCACTTGGTATCTCGAAYTGGCGCCAAATTGCGTAAAGAAGAAACGACTCGCGCGCTGTTACGCCAATAAAGCCTCAAACTATCAAAAATAGTTTTATGTGATTGAAWAATATTGAACAAAAATTTAACGCAGACTCTTTAATTGCTTATGCAAACAGTTAAGCGGTCTTCAGCGTATCATTGACTTCTAATCCATTATTAAGCGGCTTAAAAGCAAAGCACTCCGTCTGATTATAATACGTGAAGCATTTCTTATATCTAGATTAGCAGATAGTTTTATAGTGAATTTTTTTATTATAGGTAGTATAATCCCAAAAAGAGAATTAAAGTCTCAAAAAATTTCGAAGATTTTGTCACCAAAGCTTATTAAGTTAACAGCGAAATTAACAAGCTTAAAAATGACAACAAAAACTCTCAAAATACGCTGAATTGGGCTTAGAAAACAATTATTTTTAAAAATAACAACAACGAAGATTAATGTCATCTAAATAATTAAAATTATAACAACAATAATAACAATGCATATTCGAAATGAAATGTGATCGACAAGAAACAAAAAACTCTCTTAGCAACACCAACATTGAGACAGCATTTGAATATCAATTTTATAGCTACAACAACAAAGTGCATATAAGCACGCCCAAGAAGATATAAATTAATACACGYATATGTATGTATGTATATAAAGCCAGTTTTTTTTATTATTTTCACCTCAAGATTCTACAAGAAACAACCAAAATGGTAAGCAAGACACACAACAACACTAAGAACAACTACAAGACAGCAATSCAACGACAACAATTGCATTGCCGCTGCCTACTTATGCACTTATATGTATCTAAGTATGTCCATTTGTATAGCTGACACACGTAAATGCGTATGTGTGCGAGTGCCATAACCAACACAGAGCCCACACACATTAATACATACAGTCAAATACTTCGCAACATGTTCATGCAACATGTTGGCTCACTCATCACGCAACATGTTGCCTGCCAACGTAGGCTGTTCTTATTATTATTGTACACACGAGTTCGMCAGCGGCATGGCGCCTGCCGTCCCCCACCGCCACGAACAACGTTATTGGAGCCGCACCGCAGCCGGCCAGGTRGAGCARTTGCGTTCGACGCAGCCGCTGCCGCTGCCACTGTCGCTGCCTCATGTCGTGTTGTGYCGTGCCGACTCGGCTGTTGCTTCCACAGACAGTTGGCGTTGCCTTCAGTTTGTTTTTGACCGGTCACCGTGACGCGTTGGATCCAGTTTGGATGCGTCGCTTTGGATACTTGGCATTGCATTTTCTTTTAGCGTGGCTGGTAGCTGCCTGTGTGACTGCAAGCCAGTGAAACAAGTTAAATAAATATACTCCGTTGTGCATAATGCCGTTTATTTATAAAGTAAATTGAGCAAACGGAAGTGTGTGGAAAAAATCAAACAAAAATTTCTGGCTCACATTTGGGCGAGCGATTTGTAATCGAATTGCCGCGTGTGTGTGTGTCTCACTTTCAGTGTACTGAGTGGAAGTAAGTGTGTCTGTGTGCAAGTAGGTGCAAATTCGTCTGCAGTTGACAAGCGTGACCGCGCGACAGTGGCGTTAAATGTGTGAGCAACACTCCAAACTGTTGCTATTTATAGTTGGAAGTGTTGAGAATTGTGGTTGAAAGTGCAGAAGATTTTGAAAAATTTTTACAAATGTTATTTTCAGGTTGCTTTAAGTGTAACCTAACATAACCTAACTTATGTAGGTAAATTGTGTAAAAAAAGTTAAAATAGAAATTGAATTTTACAAAATTTTTAATAAGAAATATTTTGAAATAAGAGAAGTGATAAATAAAAAAATTTCAAAATTCAAAACTTTTTGAAAAAATTGTATAAGTATAGTTTTTGCGTTATAGTACGTGAAAATAGTTTTAAAAATTTGGATTTTAAAATGTTTTGAAACACAAAAATTATGAAATGTAAAAGGTGTTAATTAAAAATTTTTAATTTCATATTTTTTGAAAAAATTGTACAAATATTATTTTCGAGTTATAATAAGTGAAAAGAACAATTTTTAAAATTAGCATTTTAGAAGATTTTGGAAAAAAAAATTTTAAATTTTAAAAAGATGTTAAACACATTTTTGAAGTAAAAAATGTGATAAATAAAAATTTTAAGTATAATATAATTTGAACAAATTGCACAAATATTATTTTCAAATTATAGTAAATGAAAATAGTTTTTAAAATTTGCGTTTTGCAAGATTTTGAAAAGTAAAAATTTTAAAATAAAAAAGTGTTCTTTCATTTTGAAA